TTCTTTATAGTCCTTTGAGGACTTAAATATCCACCAATAGGGGAATTATGACAAAAATTTAAAACAAATTTAATTTTATTATCACGAATACATCTTCTAATAATCTTATCGTTGCAAAACCTCCATAAGTAAGGATCATCCCAAATAAAATACTTATAATCATGTTTTATCTTATCTCTTTGTGCTTTTGAAAAATGTGGAGAAAAAAATAGAAGCAATAATATAATTAACCATATATACATACCAAGGTCTATAATTCAAATTAACACTATAATTAATAATAACTTAATAATTAATTAATAAAATACATTATGTATATTAAATATATTAATAAATTTATTGATAAAATATGCTCATCAGGAACCCTATAACAAAAATCTCTAGAAATGTCAACCTAAAGGTGTTATAGACCAGGAAATAAAAAATGCAAACCATATGGCATGATTTTAGATTTAACCTTCCTAAAACAAGACACTTGTCACAATGCTTACGTACTAATAAACACATTTTATCGATAAATTTATTAGTGTATTTTATCTATATTTAGTACATTTCTAATTAATTATTATTTTTTAACATAGTTTTTATAAAAAAGAAATAAATATCTTTGAATCTAATTTATTTATTTTTACAAGAGTGATCAATTGAAGACAAATATATAGTTTTATCTTGAAGAATTCACTTAGTGCCTAGCGATTTTGCCCAATGAATTTCATCCAAATGCATCAACCCTGGCATTGCCAATCTACTTAGTGAAGGAACTATCCATTAAACGAATTTTTTTTTGTCAACTATTTATTTTTCAAATCCATTCAGCGAATTTGTCCAATCCACTCAATGAATTTTAATCTTCCTAGCGAATTTTGTTGCAGAACCTCAATTATGTAGAAGTACTATTCAAGTTTCATGTTTTGTAATTGATTAATTATGAGCCCGGGATGTGCCTTGCACATCTTGTACATGATTGCACGTCTTGGTTTTATGTTTCTAACAAAGGTTGTTAGAAAGTCAAGCCTAATTAGATGGATGTACAATATATGTTATTTTTACATTTTTTTCCCTTTTCTTTTTATTTCTTGCATATTTTTCCCTATTTTGCTTTGATATTGTAAATAATAAAATTGTTGAATCTTTGAACCTTAGGATAGAGGATAACTATTATATTAGCATGAGACTTTTCTAATTGTTTTGTAGGTGAGGGGTTTGAGTATGCATTGTTTCCTCCCTTCACACATGCACCACTACATGTTTCCATACTGAATGGGGCCCTATACCCGGGTCTGAGTGAACTTAGAAATAAAGGGATTGTATAGCAATGTCACTTGGGATGTACTTTCTATTTAGCTATTATGAGAACCCTAACTAGAGTCGTTCTCTTCATTCATATTCTCACCTCTTGTTAACTTCCAACTATTGTGGAAAATACTATGAAGTGATTCATAGTTGTAGTTTCCTTGTACCCTTAAGATTAGGAACCCCACCTTGTGAGTATGCATGAGTTGTCCTAGATTTTTTTTTTCTTACCGTAGAAACCATGGTTAGGGCACAAAGGGAGATTTTTGCAATGTTGTATCTCTCACTTTTGTTTTTACTTACTAAGTATATCATGCTTGCATTACATTTTTCATCTTGGTTTATCACTTACAATTTTGTGTCATAACATAATTGGTTAATGAATAGATTGAGGGATCAATTCATACTCTTTCTCCTCATGTATTTCATGCATATTTTCTTACTATTTTAGCATTTACGGGTGAGAAGCCATAAAGTTGTTTGAATATCCTAGTAGGAGGTGGAATTAATACAGGGTCCCAAGGCGGTTGAGAATCTAATTCAATTACAATAAAAAGGAAATTGCAATTGAGAGTCAAGGAAGGGAATGTGGTTGGCTTGGTGGAATTAGGCCAGAAATTGAAGACAATACGACAAGATGATTTTAGAAAGAAACACGGGAACTTGTTAGACTTAATGGAGGTAGAGGTATAAGGAGCTGCAATCATCGTCCTGACTCAATATTATGACTCTTTGCTAAGGTGCTTCGCTTTTCAAGACTTTTAATTAGCCCCAATGGTGGAAGAGTTTGAACAAATCCTAGATCTACCTTTGGAGGGTAAATTTCCATCTAAATATGTGGAGCAACACACATCTATTCTGAAACTAGCTAAGGTCATGAACTTACACCCAAGGGAGTTGGAGAGTAGGCTAGAGGTTAGAAATAAAATAAGAGGCATCTTACAAGGTTACTTAAAAATTTGGCTGACATGAGAGATTGAGAGACGTTTATATATTTGTTAGCCTTCACTCTTTATGGAATCATGTTGTTTCCTAATATTAAGGGCTTCATAACCCTGGTTTTCCATCTCCAAAATGCATATTTGAAATTTTAATTATATGGTATTTTTTTTAGCTAAGTATCTTATTTATTGTGTTTTGTGTTTGAAACTATAATTATCATGTTTTGACACGTGAATAAATATTATTTCAAATGTTGAACAATTTTCTAAGTAAAAGTAGAAATTAACTTAAACATGTTTGGGACATATATAGATATTGATTCTTGTAATGTATTTTGAATATTCTATATGAAGAAAAAATTTGTAAATATTTATTATGATAAATAAAGATAATGATTGTGTAAGAGTAAGTTAAAATATAATTATTAATTTATACTAATTTCATATTAAAATAAATTGTGGTACTTATTTTAGAATCAGGAATGCTATTTTTAAATAAGATAAATATGAACAATCTTACTTTAATATTTTTTTTACACATGCAATAAAAATCGGATCTTGTAAACTAGAAGTCGAATCTTAGTAAATAAAATTAAATATCTCAAGTATTTATCTGACTTGTTCCACATGGAAAATAAACTATATATATAACATGTTAGTTATTATTTCAATTTGAGATGGTTTTAAAGAGTATAATGATTACAATTCTCAAGCATGATGTAAATTTGATTCTACCTTAAGAATAAAAGGAATTCAAATTCCTTTTATTGTTACCTTGGTGAACTAGTTCCAATGCTGAGAGTGGCAAAACACACCATTAACATGAACAGTTTCATATTATGGTGGAACAAACCACAATCAACGGTGATAAAATAAAAGCACCATCACGTAATATTCAAGCAAGTAAGTAGTGATTTTGATTGTCCCACTTTATGCTCCATCCACCCAGATTAACAAAACTAATCATGTCAACCTCTCTATCTCCTTCTTAGTTGAGGATCTTGTATAATTCCATGTATTCTTTAGCAAACCTCTCTAATAACATCTAACATAGTTGTATAGGAAATTAGGATTTATGACTACTTATTAACTAAAGCAGTCTTTACCATTAGGAATCGGGTTTAACGAATCCACATGATAAACCAAAGTTTAATTGAAAGAAGCATCCACATTTTAAGTTTGGATGTGCATTCAACGTATTAGACGTATTAGGTGATATGTTTGAGAACTATTTAATAAAGATTTATTTTGCCTTTATTCTCTTAAAATTTAATAAAACGATTTCTTTTAGAATAATGTAAACTAAAGTTTAATAAGTATATGACAAATCAATTTCTTAAAGGGAAAAAAGAATGATATAATTTTGTGCAACAATGATAAGTGACTACGAAAAGGATTACAAGTTTTTTCTTTTTTTCCCACATGTCATGTATAATCTTAACAAAAAGTGAAATATTGTGTTTGGATAAGACCTTTTATAATTTTTAGAAAAATTAAATACATAAATTTAATTTTTTTATTTAAAAAAGATTTAATTTTTCAAATTAGTTATTTAGATAAGACATTTCAAATTTATTAAAATTTGTTTTTTTATAAAATATTTTAATTAATATCAAATATAAAAATTATCAAAATTATTATTATTATTATTATTATTGTAGAACGAGAAAAATTATAATAAACTCAATCAAGTCAAATGAGTTCCAAATAAACTAAATTATTAAGTTTAGGCTATATGAAGCCAAATTCTACTAAGTTGAGAAAATTGGATGAATTCGGGTTAGACTGATAGGTTGGGATCAGTCAAGTCATGTTGGACTATGTTGGGATGAGTTATGACAAATTAGATCATGTTAAGTTGAGTCTAGATGGGTTGCAAGTGAATAAGACAAATTAAGATTCGATGGGTTGTGTCAGATCAAGATAAGATATGTTGGGTTAAGAATGGTCAGATCAAGATAAATCATATCAAATTAAAATGAGTCAAGTTGAGACAGGTTAGGTCTGGATGAGCCTGACCTACTTTGGATAGTTGAGTCAAACCTAATCAGAAAATATTGAATTAGATTAGAATAAGTTAGGTCGGAATGGATTGAACGAAGTCAATATAAATTAAGGTAAACCAATACAAGGTTAATTAGATTGAGAAATATTGAAAGGATGGTCCGAGAATGTTAAGTTAATTCAAATTATGTCAATATATGTCAAATCTTTGTTCGATCAGTGCTTGTCTAGGTTGACTTGAGTCAACCCATGTTTAAACAACTCAAAATAAATAAAAAATATCTTAACTAATCAAGATTAAGTAAAAAAATATATAAAAAAAAGATACATAAATTTATAAAATAAAAAAAATCAAATTATTACATGAAATTTAAAATTCTCTTTTTTTTAAGTATTTAAAATATTCTCGTCAATTTTTAAAATTTAAGTTACTTTTCAAATTCTTTCTTTATAAAAAGAGTCAATTTTCTCATGAATCAATTCAAATACTCTATTAAAACAGATTACCCTCGATATATTTCACATCCAAACAGGCAGAATGGGTGTCCTAGATAACTTGTCAAGTTTGACATTTGTGCCCTCTTCATTAGTGAAGGAAATAGAAACAAAGATGAAACACCAAAAACTTTGAATTTATAAGTTGAAAGCCATTCATCCTAGGACAACCAGAATACGATCACTAAATATAAAAAAAAAAATTACACACATTTGAGCAGAATTCTGAGCAAAAAATATAAAAAGAAACCGACAAAAAGGTATAAACTAAACCCATTGCTGCTTTGTTGCCTCCATTCTCCGCAACAAACCATCAATCTCTTCTTGCATTCTCTTTTTCATTTTATAGTAATCAAAATAGGAATTTTCCAAGACTTTTAGTTCATCCATTTTCTTCGTCTGCGTTTCCTCTGTCTCGTGCAAGGAGAGTTTGGAAAGCTTTTCAGCATACTCTTCTTCCATCTGCGCAGTCTTCGTCCTGATCATCCTCTCAAACCCTTCTGCCTCTCTTCTTGCTTCATCTGCCTTGGTTTGGAACATTCTGGTTTCTGCGTCCTTTATCCTCACAATGCTCTCCAAACTTTCAAGTCCACCTTTCCTTAATAAAGCCCCTAAATGGAAATCAGCGTCATTTTTCATTTCACTCAAGATGGAAGATTTTAAGTCTTTCTGAAGTAGTTCACTTGACATGGCATCAGGATGTGACCTAGAATAGCCCATATATTTTGGTAAATGGTTAGGTTTTGACAGAGATGATGTATCCTTCGTAAGGTTACTTTGAGAGACTGCCACATCGTTTGAAGAAATAGCAGCAGATGTAGGAAAGTCTGACATGCTGTCGGCGTCTGCTTATCAGAAAAATCATCTGAGTTAAATATCAGTGTAGTAATTTAAGAAAAGCACGCATCATTAAAAAAAACATAAGATTACCAATAAATAACCACGCTAAAGAGGAAAAGGGTCTTCTACGCAAAAGGAAATTCATTAAAGAATCACAGGGTCACACGTAATCTGACCTATTTAATCAAACACATTCAACAATGTAAAATGATTAAAACCAAGTCTGTAACAACTGTGCTGTTTTAGGAATGGATGCTCAATGTAGAACGTAATTCATTATTCATTTCATATGCAAATTTAGCATCAGAAGACAATAATCAATTGAAGTATACGAAGTTCAGTGTTAAAAATAACAATACTCTTCCTTTATTTCCTCAAACTATGATAAAAAAAAAAAAAAAGAAAACACTTGTTCAACTACATCAACTTGTAATATTGAGCTCAACTGACTTAAAGACTTCGAGATGATTCCATTGATATATAAATCATGGATTTGTTAGGGCTTCAAATGCTAGCAATATTGCGCTCACCATAAAACTGCACATAGGAAACAACAGCCTGGGATGGGATGGGGAGTAAATATCAAACTGAATGGTGAAAGCAAATTGAACTTGGTAAATACACAAGCCTTACTGATTGTTACAGAACAACTTGAAGTAGATAAAAGCCCAGCAGTTTTAAATTACTCTATAAATGACATTCAATTCTCATTAGGGTAAAATAATGAAAACCAAGCTAGCCTATATATTTTAAAAAACTAACAAACGTTATGGTTCTCAATTCTCATTCTTAGGCTTTGTTTGGTTGGAGTGATTTGAGAGAGTGGAAATGAGAGAGTGGAAATGAGAGAGTGGAAAAGGAGGGATTTGAAGAGAAATGAAGATAAAGTTAAAGTTGTTTGGATAAATGGAAAGTAATAGGAAAGTTTATGGAAAATTGTGAATGATTTGATTGATATGAGATATAAAAATTATAATTTTAATTGATTATTTAAAAAACCATTTTACCCTTTGTATAAAATAAGGTTCAAATGATTATAAATATAATTTTTTAATTAATTATCCATATTTTAACATTGATTATATATTTAAAAGAAAAAACAAATTTAAAAGTGTTTGTAATTGGAAACAAATTTAAAAAATTAACTTTTTTTAGATAGTTATTAAAAATTATATAAATAAACAATTACAAAATTATGTACATTGCATATCCATATTCAAATAATGTTGACATATTAAAAAATAAATTTTACTAATAATTAAATAATTATAAAATATGACGAGTCGAATTCGAATATGACAGTCAGAATGAAATATAATCGATCAGACTTTAAAAATGAGCGATCAGATTTATTTTAATCGATTAAAACACGCTTTAATCGATTAAAACCACTTTGAAAGTCAGGATGATCGATCAGAATGAAATTATGACCGATCGAGTTGGTTATGATCGATCAAAATTGAATTATGACCGATCGGACTTATTTCAATCGATTAAAACGAATTTTTAATCGATTAAAAAGACTTGAAAAGTTATGTACAGATTTTCAATCGATTAAAACGACTTTATATCAGCTAAAATAACTTAGGAAAGTTTTATAAGAAGGTTTTTAAGCAAATCAATCGATTAAAACGCGAATCAATCGATTGAATCACTCTCAGAAAATGTTTGTAAAATGTTTTAACTGATATAAACATGGTTGTATCAACTAAAACCATTCTCGTTAAAGAAACAAGAACGCATTAATGGGTTGAAAGGACTTTTAACAGATTATAACGGCTATTTCAACAGATTAAAACAAACTTTCAACAGATTAATTAATGCAGTAGATTTGAAAATTCTCTTTAAAAACAGTTTTGCTTTAAAAACAGTTTTGCTTGAAACTTTTATATAATACAATAACTTTCCCTATCGGCTGTAACTAGAGAAGAAAGAATAACTCCTGTAACTTCTATCACTGTGAACACGTGAAGTTAGTGCATGTACGCCGTGACCACCTGCATGTACAGACTCGTGACTTCTGTTCATGACTTACCTCCTTCTGTCGTGTTTAGAATATATAATTTGTCAAATGATCAAGATTTTAGATAACGGTTCCAGTAATAACCGCTATTACAAATATATATAAGATAGCGGTTAAACTGGACCCTTATTATATATACACTTTTAAGAGCGGTTACAAAGATAACCGCTCTTAAAAGTAACCTGTGATAGCGCTTATATGTTAACCGCTATCTAAAGTTTTCAAATGATCGATTATTTTGCCAAAATGATCGATCACTTTTCCAAAACCTCGACACTTAAGATAGCGGTTCACCTCGAACCGCTATCATATGTTCACATCTAATAGCGGTTCACCTCGAACCGCTATCATATGTTCACATCCGATAGCGGTTCCGGAATAACCGCTATCTAAAGGCTTCGAATTTGATTTATTTTAATGTATAATTATATATATATATATATATATATATATTATATACATATTCCAAAATATAATTTATATTAATTACTTGTAATATAAAATATATATTCCACAATATTACTAAAATTTATATATATATTATAGAAATGAAAATAAATTATATTTGAGAATATATAATTTTGATAGAAAATTATATAGATATATATATTCTAAAATATAATTTAACATTTTGAATTTCGAAAGGTTTTCTCTAATAACAAATTAAAAAACATAATATTCAAAAAAAATATTTTAAGATTCGAGTCTCGGGTTGTATTTCGCTCGAGCGATTATACTCTCGCTCGAGCGAAATACCATCCCGATCGATCATAATTTCAAATGATCGATCATAATTGGAAGATATCATAGCGGTTCCTCTGTAACCGCTATTTAAAATATATATTAGATAGCGGTTACGGTTTAACCGCTATTACAAGTTGTATTTCGCTTGAGCGAAATTAAACTCGCTCGAGCGAAGACACCTGCACATAATTTTCATTCTCGGGTTGTTTTTCGCTTGAGCGAAATTGATCTCGCTCGAGCGACATCCACATTTTTCGATTATGATCGACTACATTTTCAAATGATCGATCATATCTGAAAATATATTATAGCGGTTAAGATTTAACCGCTATTAGAATTGCTATATAATAGCGGTTAAGTTTTAACCACTATTAGAAGTGCTATTATAATACAGCAGGCGTGTTCTCATGCAGGAGATAGAGAAGGGTAAATAAGTTATTTACTATTTGATGATGTGTCTTTCTCTGCTATCCTCTCAAATCCTCTCAAATCTTCAGGGTGAGCTTTCCTCCCCTCTCCCTCAAATCCGCGCCTGCAAATCCTCTCAAATCACTTGCAACAAACGAATTGAATCTCTCATTTCTGTCTTCGTGAACAGTAAATCAGTTCAAACAAACACAGGCTTAATGTCCAAAAGTCATCCAACTTGCACTGATTTTTCCATCTCATACAAAAACTGTTGCGGGAGCGTAATTATATTTTACTGTGGTTATATTTTACTTTTTGGCCTTGGACAGCGAAACAGTAAAGAGCGTACATATTTTGGTAAAGTTGGAAAATTGGTTCAAAGTTTTGTTTGAGTTCTCATTATTATCAATCTGTTATCTCTATCTCTCAGAAGCACAATAAATTTGATCAACAATAAGGCTATTCCTCCACCACAGCGTATACACTTTAATCCTTCCTTATTCACAATCCTACCAAATCACCAAAGGAACCACTGGTTTTTACTCATTTCCAATAAATAATGGTACTTCAAGCAATCCCTTCATATCATGTGAAAATGTTTTCATGCAACAAGACTAGAATATACCGTATTAAGAGCTGAAAGATTAACACATCAAGTATTTTTTTTAACTTAATCCCATCAAAGATTAACACCAAGCAAATCATGATGCATTCGTAGTGCATCCATAGCACTCAAGTGCTGTATCTATGAAGCAAATATTTTTAATTTTAAATCTAAAGATAAATTTAAATATGAATAGGAATGACCCAAGTTCAGATGCTTACAGTTGAAAATTTGTACGATGTAATTGCAAGCGTCCAAAGGAGATATCATTTTGGTTTGAAGCTGTAATAGCATGTCATCAGTTTTAACATGTAATTCCTTCCCTTTGCGATCTTCACTTGCGCTGAAGATCCTCCTTACACAGTCAAGCTCTTTCATTAAGGTTTCAAGACCCCAATCCTTTGCACAATACACAAACACGTCTTTAACAAAACCAAACATTTCCGAGGCATGTCCACATCCGATACAATGAAACTGCATCTCTGAGGTCCCTGAAGGCCCGTTCAAGCTAGGCCCAGGCTTGATAAGATTTCTGTGAATGCCACAGGCAGCATGACACCAATGGGAACAAACATCACATCCTATCCAACTACAAGTGTTATTTGCACAATCAAAGTTCAAACAGACAGGACACATGCAAGAACTACAAAAGCCCGTATTTCCTGAACACATCTTGCAGTCACAATCATCAACAGGAAGCAAATGCTTGCAGGTTACATTCCTACATCTCTTATACAAGAAAATCTCTACCAACTCAGACAACTGAACTTTGCTAGATAGGAAGCTGGCAAGCCTCATCTTGACAGCCACTAAAACCTCTAATTGCACTTTATGGCACTTTGAAAGACTCTCCTTGGTAAGGTCAGATCTTCTGTCAAGCCGGTTTTGGAGGCTTACCAGTTCCTCTTTCTTGTCAGGCTTCTCTATGAGATTCTTTAAGTATCCCTTAATTGATGCTATGACATCATCAGTAAGCTCCTGAATTGTCAATGCCATGACAGTGATAGACTCTGAAACAATCTCCCTTATAATTCTCTCTGGTCTGGAATGCTTCCTTACCTTCTCATCAACCAAACCATCCAAGATTCTAAGATTCTCAGGGCTCCTCCCCCTTGAGTCGCCTGACTGAGCTTCAAGCCTTGGCCTAGCAGGCAACTCTGAAGGGAAAAAAGAATGATTATAAGAACTAGTAGTTTTATACTGACTATTACCTTGCATAAAGGAACTAATACCAGCACCATGGTTGCACAGAGCAACCCCATCTCCTATTGGCTTGAACCTACTATGCACAGACCCATTAGTCCCCTCCCCACAGTTCCAAATTTGGTCATCTTTGCTCACTGAGTACTCAAAATTATCGGTTGAATTGCGGGTCAGTGAGCAACTTGGGTTGTGAGACAATGGGTGGGAATATGAGTAGGACAAAGAAGCTGCTGTGTAGTCATTTGAATATGAAGTGTGAGTAGTGGATGGCCTGCAAGGTTTAATCCTAACTAGTTGATCACCATTTTGCAAGGCGTTTGAAGCTGTGAGGGAAAGTGACACTTCAGGCAAAGCAAGAGAGAGATTGAGTGTCTCCAGTTTTTGCTTCTTCTCCCTATTACTCTCCCTCTCAACAACTTTCTCAAGGGATCTCTTTGAAGAATCCTCTCTTGGCTCACTCAAGCTGAGGAAATCTCTTTCCACCCATTTTCCATCCTGATTTAAGTTCTCATAAATTACAACCTCTTTCCCTTTGTGGCTCATTCTCTCAATGGAATTCAGAAAGCTTTTAGCAGGATTCTCTTTCTCAGCAAGACTCAGTTTTGGGTTGTCACAAAGGTAGCTGAGGGTCAAATCCTGGAACCCCGAGCTTCCAACAACAACGTCGGTGGGTTTTGAGTGGAGAACCCCATCAACACCTCCACAACCACCCACCTGTGAATCTCTCAGAAATTCAACACATTTCTCATCTGGGTACTCGTTTTTTGCCTTAAAATTGTGCATTGAAAGCTTGCTCCTAGAGTTCTCACCCTCCGATTCAACAAAACAATCTTTACTTCCAATCATGGCCAGAGGAATTGAACGAGAGAAGAGAAGGTTACGAGAAAGAGAAGATTGATGGGGGCAACTCTGAAAATAAAGAGAGAATCAGAGGTATTTTAAGTTCTGGACATTATACTCTCCAAGCAATGGCAGGAATTTCATGTTTTTCTTCTATAGTATTCACACTGGGTTTAATAATAATAAGAAGAAGAAGAAAAAAAAAAAGAAAAAAGAAACGGCGATGCTTTTGGGCGTGTCTCAGATTACAGTCTTAACCCTTGAAAATGGAGAAAATTACTCTCAAGTGGACCACTTTTCTTTTTACTGCAATTTTACTTTCCATATAAACAGCTCAGTTCTCACTTCTCACTTCTCACTTCTCACTTCTCGGAATCATCAACCCTTAGCTCACCACCAAGCACGACTGCATTTCCACCTCAACGCAATCCTAATCCATTTATAAAATAATTAATAAAATTTAATCTTGTTATCAGAAATTGGACATTTTTACAAAATTATTAATAAGGTGGCATCTTCAATTTTTAAATGTAAAGCTCTTTACAAATCCACTTGTCACTCTTACATGATTAAGTAAATGAATAAACAACAAAATAATGAAGGTCATCTATATATATATATATATATATATATATATATATATATATATATATATATATATATATAAAACTTTAAGGGTTCATATATAAAAACTTTAATAATCTTATAGTTTAAATTAATAATATGGATATATTAAGTCTTATAATATTATTATAATAAAATATGATATAATAAAAAATAACTAAAAATTACTAGGTCTTATCTTTAAATGGTTACTTTCAAATATATTAATAGAATTAATTTATAAAACATCTCAAATATACTCTAAATTATTGAACGATAACATTTTTATTCAGAATTACGTAGCAGTAATCACATATACTATCATTTATGATAATATCATTATTTGTTGATATTTGTTTGCCTATAATTGCTCTGAGAACATCATATTATTTAATGAGTTGGTTAAAAGGCTTAGCCTTTACGTTGAAAAGTGTTGTTTTTTTATAAAAGAAAAAAAAAGTCTCATTTTTTACCTATGTAAGGATTATTTTCCGCCATGGTTTTCTTTACCATTTTGTTTTCTTCGTCACTTTTTTACTTTGTTTCTCCCTGATCATTCTCTTCCTCTGTCTTACGTATTCCAATGAACACTTGCGGGTATTGCGAGAGATCGACATCCTGTACCAACTTGACATCGCCGCTTAAGACGCTTCCATCACATTTTTTCTTCATGACCATTAATGAGATTAATATAATTTTAAGTTTTTATTTGTAATTTTTATTTTAAAATTAAATAGATTGAATATGATAAATATAATAATATTTATGATATGATTTAATGAGATTAATATAATTTTAAGTTTTTATTTATAATTTTTATTTTAAAATTAAATAGATTGAATATGATAAATATAATAAATATAATAATATTTATAATAAGAATTAAATAAATTAATGAAAATTAATTAAATAATTATTGAGAATTATTATTATAATATACAATTATTGTTATTTAACTTATAAATAGGTTATTTGTTGATAATTTTTTTAGAAAGAGTTTTATGGTGTTTTGAGTTATATAAATTTATTTTTGTTTTGTGGTGATCGATTTGATGACTTATTACACATCTTTTTATCTTTCTTAAGTATAACCTCAATATTCCCCCTTAAATTGAATATTAAAACTATCTTGTTTTCATATTCGCATCAATTGATACAGAGTTTTGACTTGGAATAATTTTATTTTAGTTTAACTTTTTACTTAAGTAGATATAAATGTTAAAGTTCTTTCGCAACTTAGTACATCACGAATAATTTATAGGAAAGAGAGTATTAAAGAGTGGGAATGAAAAGAAAAAAAGTATATAGAAATAGAGAGAGAATGTTTGATGAGCATAGGAAAAAATGTACAATAATTAGAATAAAAGAGAAAGACTTGAAAAAAAGGAAAAAGCATCGGTAAAAAAGAAAATGAGAAAAAAAAATGAAAGAGACCATTGAGAGAAAATGAAATAAGAGAGTTGAGAGAAAATATATGGTGAAAATAAAAGAAGTTCAGAGAAAAAGAAATAGAAAAGTTGAGAGAAAAACAAATATAAGAATAAAAGATACAAGAAAAAGAAAAAAGAAAAAAGAAAATAAAAGAAAATGAAAAGATAAAATTAATAGTAGAAATATATTTTTTATTCTATATATATTACTTTTTTTTTTTCATTCAACACGGTAAGGAAGGTTCCTATGAAATGTCTTGTTGACTTATCTACTAATATCAATAAACAAATTGTTTATACGGAAAAACTAGTGAAAGAAAGGTTTTTTTATCCTAATATTAATTTTTATTTTTTTTAAAAGAAGAGTACTCATGACATTTGAGGACAAATGTTCTTCAAGGAGGAAATGATATGATTTAGAAGGTCAATATAATTTAAATTTTTATTTATAATTTACATTTTTAAATTAAATGAATTAAAATATTATAAGTATAATAATATTTATAATGAGAATTAAAAGAAAAAAGAATAAGAACTAATTAGACAATTATTAAGAATAATTATTGTAGTTTACAATTACAATTATTATAGGTTATTTGTAATCTAATAAAGTAGACATTTGAATTTTGAATCAAAATTTGAGTTTTTATCTTAAAGATAGTTTTTATGGTATTATAGGTTATATGAGTTTATATTTAATCATATCAAGGTAATATATGGTGATCAATTCCATGACTTATCACTCATCTTCTTATTTTTTTGGAGTGTGATGTTAATATCCTTCCCCAAATTGAATATCAAAACAATCTATTTTTCATATTCGCATTTATTAACTTGCACACCCCATGTATAATGCCAAAACAAATTTTTCACAAACCTCACAACACAAATCTAAATTTGTGTTGTAAATGTCATCCTCCCCCACAATGAACGCAAGTCTTAACCTTGCCACAATAGTATGTGTAACAATTTTTGCCCTCCACCCCCACTATGGACAAAACTTGACTTGCGAAATAAAATTTATCCACACTACCCTACATACATGCCATAATCAGAAAAGTTTAAACATTTGTGTCATTACATTTGTTGTTCATTCTTAGAAATGGAGAGATATTTAATTCAACCTTACAAAATTGACTTAGCAAGTTGTGGTTTATGTTCACTCATATATTATAATGTTATCGTATCTCTAGTTAATATGAGATTTTCATCACACCCCCTCATCTTAATATAAATTTTCATAACACATCTTGAGAAGGATTTTCATCTTACCCCCTCACTCTAAGAGGATTTTTCTTTTCATCACAGCTCCTACCTCAAGGAGGATTTTTTTTATCACACTGGGGATTTTTCAATAGTTGAACATCGTTATAATTAACTCTGATAATATCTTAGAAATGGAAAGATATCTAATTCAATACTATAAAACTAGCTTAGTAAATGGAGAGATATTTGACTCAATCCTTTAAGACTTGTCACCTCGATAGGGATTTTCATCACACTCTCCCATCTCGAATAAGTTTTTAAAATCCTTTAAGACTTGTCACCTCGATAGGGATTTTCATCACACTCTCCCATCTCGAATAAGTTTTTAAAGTATTTAACATGCATGTTAAATGTATCGTAGCAAATAAATTAATAATCAAATATTAGACCGATTGAGTGATGGAGGACCACGTATTAGGACACATATAGGACCCCTTACTAAGGTCATGGCTAGAAGGATAGAAGAGGAGGAAGCTTCCCCAATAACCCTCCTCCTTTGGATCCTTTAATATTAAAATCCTTATACCTTTGGCCTTGTATAGAATTGTAAAAACCTTCATTTTCTCTTTTATAGGTTACACCTTGGCCGAAAAGCTTCAAGGAGAGTTGCAGTTACAAGGTCATGATCAAGCATCTCAAAGATGCCACATGGAGAGAACCATGACCACTCCACTTGGTTACACTTTATGAAGAATTTCTTGTATATAAACACTTGGAAACATCTTTCCCAAAGCTATGTGGAACTTGGAGGGAGTGAAAAATAAAAAGAAAGGAGCAAGGATCAACACTTGTTTAGAACAAAAGAAGTTACACTTTTTTCCCTCATATTCTCAGTCAAAGAGAGTTAATTCCAAGCTAGAAGGTCCAAGCTTCAATTATTGGTTATAACTATTGGGAGCATGAGCATATATAAACTCTTGAAATTATCTAGAAGAAAGAAATATAGGACTTGAAAACTTTGTAGATGAGAATTTCGGCCAATACTTGTATAAGGCAAAATTAGTCTCACACCCTCTAGAACATTGAGTGAATGAGAGGGGAAAATTATATATATGACTCCTTGTGTAAATTTTTTAGCACATTTGAATGAAATCAAGCTTAGTGTGTGGAATTTGCATTTGTTGCTTGTACCGTGATTGTTTGTCCTCAAGTCTCTCTTTAGGAGTTTGTTCTCCTATTCTCCTAAACAAAGAACCTTCTTGGAGGAGTTAGTGTCGAGTTTCTTGAGAAACATGAGGAATAATTTTGATAACACTTTGGGTGTTCTTGGTGTAGGGTGGTTCAAACTCTACTTGGTGGATGAAGGAAGAATTTCTCCATCAATTTGGTATCAAGAGCTACGCATGAAGGTCTTTAAGAGATAATTACCTTCATCTTTCCTTCTTCTTGTCTTTGATTTTTGGTCATGTATGCAATTGTTTGAGTCATTCTTTGAGTCATATGCAATTAGGTCCTTAGTCTTAATTTTCTTGTAATTGATTCATTGTTTAGTTATTTTCTTGAATCAATTGTATGTTTAGGAATTTCTATAAAATGTTGAATGTTTAAGTAGTCATAGATTTTCTTACTTAGATTCCAATTTTATAATCTTCCATGTTGTCTTATATGCCATGTTTAGTCTTATATGTTCATAATTCCTTAGATGTTGTCCCTAAAAAATAAAAGTGTTATAATATAATCATATAGAAATTGAATTCTTGCATCACT